TGGAGGAAAAAGAGATCCTCAGTTATCAGCATTTTGAATAGCCAGCAGGCAGTTTCATAGACTGGTTTACAGTTTTGTGATATTTTTTGTTGCTACATTCCCCTACATTAACGTATTTGCTCAGTAATCGTTCAGTAGTTGTTCAGTAATACACTACATATCTAAGGAAGCAATGGAGGGTGAAAGTGCAGGCTCAGCCTCATCTCTGAAATCTTTTGTATAGATCTTAAGAGAATGTTATAGGGTTGTATTTGCTTCAGGTGCTCAGTTTATTGTGCATTCTTTCTTGGAGCTGTTGACAAGAAAATTCTGTACTTAACAGGTCATAAGGAATGGCCACGTTTTAGCCACTTTTAATAAATGGACTTTAGTACTTCAGTGTAAGCCTTCCTTAGGCACAAATTCATATGTATAACAGCTAGCACTTAGGAGGGCTTTTGCATGGGGCCTACAGGATTGGAAAAACTTTTTCCCTCAGTCCATAATTTTTGGTGGAGGAAGAGATGTGCAATGCTGCATGCTCTTGCAAAGTTCCCCAACCAAAAATGCACAGTAATGCCTTCATTGTACTTTCTTGCATGAACCTCAGTTGTTTGCATCCCAGGCCCTTTGAAACTACATAATGAAAGCTTTATGATACCACTTTAACTGCCATTACCCCATTTTGAATTCATATCCAGAGAGCTCCTTTAGTGACTCTGAACAAACTACCAATTCCAAGATGCCATAGGATGCAGCCAGGCCAGTTAAAGTGTAGTTCACTACACTACCGTATATTTGTGTAGTTCAGAGGGCTGACTGTCTGCAGCAGGGATCATGTGATATAGAGCATGTCTGTACAGGCCAAATGAACCGGTTTTCCCCTGCCCTTGCGTCATCCTATCTTCACGAAGCAGGGCCAAAGGCCCAAATAGACTACATACTGCCTTCACATGGGAAGGGCAGTTCCACAGCAAATCCCAGCCAACCCATCAAATCAAAATTTTAAAAAGCTCACAATTTGCTTTGGATCTTCCAAGAAAATCTGGAGCACTCCAAAGTGAGTGCCAGTTGTTTACACAGTGTCCCACTGTGCTGCCTGGTGCTGCTATCACTGCCACAGGTCACTCACACTGAGGTCAGAAGGTGCCTAGGCATGTGATCAATGCTGGGCACCTCATTTCTGCAACTCTTTCTGGCAGCAGTGGTGGTAGACAGCACAGCGGGATGCTTTTTAAATAGCTGCCCAGCATCACTCTGGAATGCACAGGTAACAGAGGGAATTTGGGACGACTTTGGGTCAGAATACTTCAGGAGCATCCTGGAGTATTCTGGCCAGTTAGATCTACCCTAAGATTCATAGAGTACTAAGTTATTTCATCGTACAGATAGTTCCTTACAAGAAATATGCTTTTAGAGCTTCCATAAACTTCTGTTCTTATCTTGTTGATGTCCCATCTCCCAATTCCCATTTCCTTTAATTTACTTACATGCACCAGTTCAGGGACAAGCAACAACCGCGTTGGGTTCCTCCTGTTGTAATGAGTCACAGTTGAAGCTTGTGGCATGACATTCACCTCCTCCTCTATTAGGTATTAATCCAACTGCAATTCGGGGCACAGAAACAGGAGTGTGGATTGGTGTGAGTGGTTCAGAAGCCGGTGAAGCACTCAGTGTGGACCCTGAACAATTGCTGGGGTACAGTATGACCGGCTGTCAGCGTGCTATGTTTGCCAACAGAATTTCCTACTTCTTTGACTTCAAAGGTATGTATACAGAAACTCAAGTCTAGTATTTGAAAATACTTGTTATGCTTTCAAAGTGATGGTTTCTGCTAGGGTGGATAGGAAAATACAGTCTTTCCATAGATTATATTTGAATGTAGGTAGGTAAGAAGAATTATTATTATTGTGGGACAGTTGCACATAAAGACTATATATTCTGGCAATTTTACCGAAGGAATTCACTTTTGGGAATCATGCTCAACCCTGTCAAATAAATGGCTCACTAATTCTCACTAATTGGCATATTTTAACTAAATGGGCTGGAATCAAGAGAACAGTAAGAACAGTAATATTTCCTCTTCATGAGTGGCAATCTTTTGTAGCATTTTCTGCTCTTATACCTTAAAGATATCAGCTTGCTACACAAGAGAGTTTGAATGGGTAGGTTCTGATGGTGTCACCAGGAGGACTAACTCATGTTTTTTCATGGCTTTTGTTCCCAAAGGCCCAAGTATGTCCATTGACACAGCATGTTCCTCAGCCCTTGTTGCTCTGGACAATGCTTGCAAAGCAATTCGAAGTGGGCAGTGTGAATCAGCCCTTGTAGGAGGAGTCAATCTCATATTGAAACCCAACACTTCTGTGCAGTTCATGAAGCTTGGCATGCTTAGTCCTGAAGGTGCCTGCAAGTCCTTTGATGCTTCAGGTAAAGAATCTTTGTTATATTTAATCATGCTATAGAAATAGCTTGGTCTCCACAATAGAGTGGGTTTATAAGTTGGTGTTCTCTTGATAAATTAAGAAGGGCAGCACTACTTTCATCACAGGCAACTAATACCAGAACTGACAAGGGCAACTGATATGGGTTCTCTTGCAGTAGCCCTTTAGCAAGGGTGGGCAAAAATATAAGCTGTGGGCTGCATTTGGTCTGCAGCACCCATTCTTGTGGCCCACAATCATTAAAAAAAAAGAAGAGCACTTTTAAAAGAGAGAGAGAACCATATTCCTAGAAGCTTCCAAGAAGTGTAATTTACCTTTAAAATCACCTTTGACACATGTCTGTGTGCCTTTTTTAAGAATAGAAAGAATAGAAAGGGATGTTGGAACCAGAAGTAGATCTGGCATGTTCAGCCACAGTAGGTTCTTGTGTGTGGTAGAGAAAAAATGGTCTCCAGACCTTTTAGGTTGCCCTCCTACTCTACCAGTTTGTTTTCTCTTTCTTAAACATTTCTGTTTCTTAACCTCATGGAGTCTTCAAGAAAAGAGAGAGAAGGCATGTCTAATATTTCAAGACTCTTCAGTCTTGCTTGTCTGAGAGGTGCTTTGTGGTCTTAGGGTCGAACCAGGCATGGAAGTTAGCTGACAGACACAGCAGCATGTTCTTGAAGTATGAAGACCTTTTGCTGTTTTCTTCTGTTCCTTCCATAAGATTGCATCTTTAGTAAGAAAGCTATGAAACAATAAATGTGCAGTCTCTACATATGTTTCTATGAAGTTTCAAAAGAAATGTCAAACTGGTTCCTGTAGCAAACTGGAGTCAATTTATAGATAAGAGATTCTAGGCATGTTTAAGGGAAATACAGGAATGTGGGATAGTCTCATCTCCATGTATTTTTCTCTATTTTAAAGGCAGATTTGTTCAAAGTCATGTATCAATATCTTATACCAGTTTGAATTCTATAATTTTATAAAATAGGCTCATTCTTGTGGGAAGAAATAATCTGGTTAAATAGAAAACTATGAATACAGATATAAAGTTATTTTTACATACCAGCTTTTTGATTGGCAGGGAAGATCTCACATAACATTACTGAGCAACATTCCATTCAGAATCCAATAATGTATTTGTCAGAGTACTTCAGAGAACAGATACCTCAATGCATATAAAAGAAATAGCCAACTTCTGAATGGCAGAATATTAATATGGTACCTTAATATCTGAAAAACAGAATCACAGGCACTGTACAAGAAGTATTAGTGAAATGATGCAAAATTGACAAACAGTTCAAAGTAACACACTTTAGCAAATCAAGAGATAGTACAGGAACTTATGATTTGTTTATAAAGAAATAATCTTCTGTTCATAGTAACGAAAAGATTCAAGTAGTTTAGGTGTCACATTGATGTGACTGCTACAATATATGGTGTGATAGTGAAAATAAATTTATAAAAGCTCTTTGATTGATAAGAACATATCTATAAATTTCATAAATAGTTCTCCCATTCTTTGCCAGCAAAATATCACATGGCTTAGTATTATTTCTCCTCTTTGTCTAACTGTCATGACTGGGCCTATTACAGGAATATCTCCTTCGCCATTACTAGAAAAAAATATTCAAATTATTTCAGCACTCATCCATTTATAAATGAGAAGAAGGATACCAGAGTTATTTAAGATTGGTTCTTTTGGTTTGCTTACTCAACACTTTTGGGAAATTATGGCTACAAAATCCAGCTATCTAAATAATATTATATTATGAGGTTATTCTAATGGCTCTGGGTTTTTTTCAGGGAATGGATATTGCCGTTCAGAAGCTGCTGTAGTTGTTTTCCTGACCAAGAAATCAATAGCCAAAAGGATATATGCTACCATTGTCAATTCTGGTTGTAACACAGATGGATATAAGGAGCAAGGTAGGATGTTTTTCCCCACTTTCATTCTCTGAGTTTGTAAAATTTCTAAGGTTCCTAATGGGAGAAAATAGATGCAATGTATTTAGAGCAGATAGGGACAGGGACAAATTTGCTTCACTTTATTAAATTCAAATGTACCTATTCTGTCTATTAAAAATAGAGGAACCTATATTATCACCCAAGTGGACACTTGTGCCAGGGGCAGGGGCATGTTTTTCCCTTTGCATTTCTGATACTCGGCACATCATGAGCAGTCTGTGGATTAACAGCAGTAACAGTAGTAGCAATAGTAATAGTACATAGGTGGTATTTTTGAATGTTCATAGTGCTTCACTGTGACTTTTATAAGAGAGAAGGATTATTTCCCTGGCTGAACTGAGGAATCTCTGAATTGTAGCACTCATTCTTAGCTGTTACACTTTATTACACAACTTCATACAGCATCTGCACTTGGAAGCAGAGTCTGCTGAAAGAAGTTTTACTTCATAATCTTTAATGCAATCCTGTTTGGGTCTGTCATTGTGGTTGTGTGCATTCAAGATGACTATGACTTATGGTGACTCTATCATAAGTTTTTCTCTAAGATTTATTCACATGAAGTTTGCCATTGCAAATTTAGGATGAGAGAATGTGACTTGGCCATGGTCATCCAGTGGCTTTCCATGACTGAGAGGGGATTCAAACCCTGGTCTTCTGGAATTCTAGTACAACATTCAAACCACTGGTCCACCCTGACTGCTCAATGATTAATAAAATCTTGTTCAGTGGTGTCACTAGGGAAGTGCAAGGGGTGTGGACCGCACTGGGTGATACATCAGAGAAAGTTTGACACTCAGTTGGGCCCTCCTCCCACTGCAGCATGTGCGTGCAATGGTGCTGCTGGCTTCTGCCCCTCATGGCTTTGTCACCACCCCAGCTCTCTCTGTCAAGGAGGAAGCTAAGGCAATGGAGAAGGAAGGGCAAGCGAGCTCCCTCTTGGCTTCTTCACAACTCCAATTCTCCCTGCTGAGGAGTTAGCCAGGGCAAAGGAGGGGTGAGTGCGTGCCCCTCGTGGTTTCTCCACTGCTTTGGTGCTCTCTGTTTAGGAGGAAGCCAAGGCAGCAGAGAAGCAGACGTGAAATGTCCCCTCTGCCCCTTCCCACTGCATCACTTGCCCAGCCAGCTGGCGCCTGGCCCTCAGAGCCCTGAGCAGGCTTCTGGGTGACGGATGGTTGGGAAAGAGAATGAGTGGGGCAGCAGAAGGGATGGAGAGGGGAGAGAGGACAGGATAGGCAGCTGCCACTGCCACCCAGCAGCCCTTTCCAGTCTGGCTAGGCAGCAGGGTGGCTGGGGGGGGAGGGCAAAGTAGGCTGCCACCACCCAGCAGCCACCCCAGCCAGTGCCTTTCTGGTCTGGCCAGGTGGTGGATGGCTGGAGAGGGGAGGCAGGCAAATGAGGCAGTGGGAGAGAAGGAGGAGGGGGACAGGCATCTGCCACCACCCCCCAGTAACCCTTTCCAGGCACCTGCAGCAAACCTGGTTACACCAAACTTAATGACAACACTGATCCTGTTGAGTTCACTGGGACATACCCCCAGTTAAATCAATATAAGATGGCTTTGGAAAACAGGAGAAACCAGAAAAACAGGATGTGACTTATTTTCTTGTCTCAGGTGTAACATTCCCCTCTGGATGGATGCAGCAACAGTTGGTGAGTTCTCTGTACAGAGAGTCTGGGATTGAGCCTGAAGAGGTTGAATATATAGAAGCTCATGGCACAGGCACCAAGGTTTGTTCTGTTTGTCTGTTTTCCTTTAGTCTTGACTTATCTTTTTGTTTTCCTAAGAGTTCCACTATCCCAGTGATGGAGAACCTTTTTGGGGCCACATGCCCCAAGTAAAATTTTCTCTGGCATCGGGTAGCACCCGGTGCCAGGGGCAGGACTTCCATCCTCCGGGGGGAATGGAACTTCTGCCTTCCAGGGCCAGGACTTCTGGGTTGGGACTTCTCCTTTCACCCTTCTCCTGGCCACCAGCTGTCCCTCCAGAGGCAGTTGGGGACTGGGAAAGGTCCCTGGGGAGGAGGAGGAAGAGGTGTGGGCCTGTTCCTCCTTCTCTCCAAGCTTTTCTTGCCCCCAGCTGTCCCTCTGGAGGCAGCTGGGGGCCAGGAAAGGTCTCTGGGGAGGAGCAACAAGTGCACGCCAGTCACTCCTTCTCCCTGCAGTCCTTTTCCAGGCTTTCAGCTGTTTCAGAAGCCAGGGAGGAGGAGCCAGAGACCCGCGCCTGTGGCTCCTTCTCCTCAGCGCCATTTTCCAGCTTCCATCTGTCTCAGAGAGACAGCTGAAGGTTGGGAAATGGCAGGGAGGAGCCATGGGTGCATGTGTGCCTGTTCTTCCTTCTCCCTGACCCATGCTGGGCAAAATGGCATTGTGTGCCACTCATGGCACACATGTCATAGATTGGCCATCACGGCACTATCCTATCTTACCTTATTCTTCCAGCTGCAGTCATAGAAATTAAATTTTCAATTTGACATCTTCACAGGAAAATATGCTGCCTCCATTGAGCTCTATCCTCCCAATTATTTTATCCTGGACTGTTTCAGGAACTTTGGGGCACAGATGGAATCACAATGTCAGATTCCTCATTATGAACACTTGTATATATAATAATGGGAGAGGGAAAAGTGAAGTGGACTGCACACATGTGGAATTATTTCTCTGATTCTTACATGGCTGTTGGCTCCTCACCTGTACCAACCTGTTTCACACAATCCATACCCAATTCACTTGTATACCTGCATACAGAATTATATAAAGGAGCCTGGGAGAGTGAGCCGGCCTGGGTGTCTCTCAAATTTAGCCAATATCTTCTCCTGACTTTCTGTCTTTCTTGGTTTTTAGGTTGGGGATCCTCAGGAAGTAAATGGCATTGTCAATGTCTTTTGCCAATCAGATCGGCCCCCACTGTTGATTGGATCAACTAAGTCTAACATGGGACATCCAGAGCCTGCTGCTGGCCTTGCAGCTTTAGCAAAGGTAAGAAACTGAACTCACTCCCACTGCACATCGCCCCACTTCTTTCAGTTGTAGGTGTGAGTCTGGGGTGGGAAACTTCACTGCGTCTGGGGTCAGTTTTCTACTCTGGCCCTGTAATCCCTGGGAGCTGCATAGCCTGCCAAAAACAGGATGGGGTGTTCACTTCTGATTTTGAAAACCTGGCATTTGGAATGTTAAGCTGAGCCAAGTAGCAGAGGGCTTCAGTGTTTTAGAAAGGTGAATCACCCCTCCTGGAACCTTTTTCTCCAGAAAAGAGGATGTCCTGAGGTAACCCCAAGTGGGGAGCAAGGCCTGGAGAAACATCCTGCGGGGTCCAAAGGCAGGCCTAAGTTCACTTTGCTCCTTTCCTCCCCCAGTGCAAGAGAAAATGCTAGGATAGTGTGCTGAGCATCAGAGCTGGCTGATTAGAGAAGTGGGATCCATGCCTTCAGAAACAAGATCAAGATGAGAACTCTGGATCATCCCTTCTATGCTTTGTTGAAGTTAACACTGATCCCCTTATTTTCAGTTATTTTGGTATTGAATGACAAGAGATGTTACACAGGAGATGGTATACAATTGAGACATTTCTCTGTGTTATAAACAAGGAGGAGAGTGAATTGCAATATAATATATAATGTAATACTAAATATGGTGAACTTTTCAGAATACCAGAAATCTCAGGGTCTGTTTAAAAGAGAATAGTTCTCTGCCTCTCCTGGCTAGTAGCATCAAAATTGTATGAATGGCCTGCTAGAGAAATATTTTTACACTGTACTGTTACATTTCTCTCTCTCTTGCTTTCAGGTGATTCTATCTTTAGAACATGGTCTGTGGGCACCCAACCTTCACTACAGTACCCCAAATCCAGATATTCCTGCCTTACAAGATGGTCGCCTCCAAGTAGTTACCAAGCCAACTCCCACAAAAGGTCACATAGTTGGTGTCAATTCCTTTGGCTTTGGAGGTTCAAATGCCCATATCATCCTGAGACCCAACAAGAAGAAATCACCCCCACTAGAGATTCCTCCATTGCTACGATTGGTACAGTTTTGTGGAAGGACTCAAGAAGCAGTAGAGACATTAATAGAACAGAGCAGAAATCTTCAGGAGCATACTACATTTCTGAGCATGCTTAATGATATCTCTGGGATCCCTGTGTCATCCATGCCTTATAGGGGCTACACCTTGATTGGCAGTGAAAATGATGTAAAGGAGGTTCAGAATGCTCAGGCCTCAGGGAGGCCTCTATGGTACATTTGCTCAGGTAAGCACATTCAGTTATCTTCTCTTCTTACTGGAGCCTTGATTATCTGTGCCCAGCCTTCTGAAAGTGATAGGTTTTAAGCCATGTTAAATGCCTCAATAAATTTGCTGTGTTCTTTTTAAACAGTGTGTTGAATCTGCTTGGTTCACACTGTTTGTTTGGAGAGTAGTGCTGTGCAGGTGTTCACTCTGTATGCACATTAAACATGCGAGGAGGACGTGCTTGCTATCCCTGTCCTCTCCATCATCATTTCTGGTTGCTGTCAGCATGAGCAGAGTAACGGTCTTAAGCAGAGAAACTCTCTTACCTGTAAGAACTCTTCATATGAGTTAGAACCTTGCAGGGGGAAAGGTTCCAGTTGAGAAAGAGATTCTGCAGATAGCAGAGGCTCCTGGCTTCAAGTCATTATCCTCCATGCATAGAAGAGCAGGAGAACTGGACATGAAGGAGGCAGGGACAGCATACTCCACCTCTTCTTATATTTAATCTATATGCAAAGTGCATGCCTGAATAGGGCTAGTGTGAAATGACAGTTGCCAGCTGCACTGGTTTTTTTAGATATAAATTATAAAAGCTCATGTCTCCGTCCTCTACCCTTGTTAGAACTGCTAAAGGTTCCATTGCTTTCTTATCCCATAGGCATGGGAACCCAGTGGAAAGGCATGGGTCTTAGCTTAATGAAGCTGGATCTTTTCCACCAGTCCATCTTGCGTTCAGATGAGGCTCTGAAAGACACAGGTCTAAAGGTGTCTGATCTACTTCTGCATGCAGATGAGAACACATTTAATGAAACTGTTAATGCATTTGTTGGACTTGCTGCTATTCAGGTAAGAATTAAAGATATATCCTTTTCCCATGGGTTTCATACATATAGTCAGCCCTCCTTATCCATGGAATCTTTATCCATGGGTTCAACCATCCATGGCTTGAAAATATTTTTTAAAAATATAAATTTCAAATAGCAAAGCTTAATTTTGCTATTTTATATAAAGGACACTATTTTATTACTCCTCTGTATATAATGGGACTTGAGCATCCATGCATTTTTGTATCCATGGGGGTCCTGGAACCAAACCCCAGACCAGTAGACCACTACTAGTACAGCAGATAAACATCATGCTATGCCTACAACATATCCTCATGATAGAATTAATTGTCTTGGAGCACAATTTCATTCAGCCCTTAGTGGGAAGTGGCTTCAGCTTTCATGTGAAATTCTTCACTTCTCTCCCCACCCCACTAAGCCAGTGTGCAGGAGGCAGGAACATTTCTGAGCCCTAGCATAGTACATTTTTCTTCAGCTTCACCTTGGTCCTATTAAGATGACCAAGTGAAGGTCAAAGGAATTTGTTCACCATTGTTGGCTATGTTCAGTGTTGTGTTTCTCAAGGGTAGGAAGTAGTACATATCAAGTTTATTAGTAAAGAAGCGGGGTATTAAAGACTGGTTCTGTG